CTGGGGAAAGCCGCACCAAAATCCAGCGCGACGAGGGCAGGCATGTCCGTGGGAGCGCCAGGGGCGTTGGAGTAAACTCGGGAGGCCACGTCAAGCTCCAAGATGTTGGTGCCGAAGTTGCGCTTGGGAATGAAGCCCCGTTGAGAACGCGGCGCCCAGTTCATGAGCAGCTTGCTGAACTGAAGGTTGATAGTCGCCGTGATAAGCTTGATGTCTGTGTTGCGGAGGCCCAGGACACGAACCGAGCTCGGGGCACGAGTGCACCCAGTGGCCCAGGAGTCGTCCACCTCCTCGCCCTTGGGCAGCCATGCCTGGAGCGTGTCATTGGAGCTCTTGAACAGGAACTGCCCACTCATGATCCACATCATAGCTTCGGCCAGAACATCAAGGCCAATATCAAATGCTGCCCAAGCGGAATACGGAATAGAGTCAATGCCAGGCTCCGAGTAATGCATCTTGCGGGCAACACGTCGAAGCAAAGCAGGGGACGGGGGCGCCACTTGCGCGAAGTCCAGCGGCGGAACGTGCTGCTCGATGTAAGACTGCGCCAATTGCTGGTCAATACTCTTCGCCCTGAAGATCGGAACCCAGTGGTCAACCAAGCGCTGCGTCATAACAGCCGAGTCACTCGATGCATGTGTAGCGCCATTGGGGTGCTTGACTGCACGAAGGACCAGACGACGATTCAAGGGGGACCAAATTGCTGAGCGGCGCTCGACCGCAGCCATTTGGTGCCGGAAAGCCTGAGGAGCCCGAGGCCGCGCAAGTTGCTCTTCAAGACGCCGACGAAGGTGATCAGCATGCCGTCGTTGGATATCATCACGCCAGCTCTGAAAAGAAGCAGGGTGACGAAGTTGGACTCTGTGCCGCGATAGGTCAAGAAAGTCAGCCGCCGTAGAGTGATTAGAAACCAGCAGGGAGGCCAACCGAAAGTCGCTGCGCCAAACTACTCGAGCAATCTGACGGGCCAGAAGAAGAAGAGAGTGACGCGATTCAGGGGCTCGCGCAAATTGTCTATCACGAAAGTCAGCAGCTACTTCGCGTAAGGCCCACTTGTGAAGTTCCACCTGGCGCGGTGGGCTCTTGCTGGCGTAGTCGAGTTTGGAACGCACCGCTTCAAGTTGTTGTCGATAGCCCGCAGCTTCGAAGAGATGACGAGGAATACGCTGCTGCTTCCGAAGTTTCGCGAGACGTTGGGTGAGCCGAACAACATGAGCCGCATGGTCGCTCACAAGACGATCTGCAAGAGCCTCAGGGCAGTCCACGACAGAAGACTCGGAAGTAATCTGCGCCATAACCCACCCAGGCCAGCTGCACCAGAAACGGTCCAAAATAGAGACTGAGTGCGAAAGACGATCGTAATGAGTAGGTTCGTCCAAGGAGACCTCCATCGTATCTTGAAGGGCCCGCTTCCAACGAGCAGCCTGAGCATGCTGGCCCTTGCCCTCGCGAAGGTGGCGATCAGGTTGATGAAGAAGCAGAGGAGGCCGAGGAGCAAAGTTCATGTCGCCGTGGACTACCACCACGTTGTGGAGCGGGTCCGCATGAGCACAAGAAAGGTCAGCCACCAAAACATTTGTGACCAAAGAGAGCTGACCAGGAGAAAGATCATGGTTGTGTACATTGAAGTGAAAAATGCGAGCACCTGCCAATGAAAGAACAACTCGAAGAACGCGACCCCGAACCAGCTCGCGGTGATGAACAGAAGACGCGCATAATGAAGGAAGAATCGTAGCCACACCACCCCGTACTGCAGACCCCTCATAGTAACTGGTGTAAATACGAGCCCGCGGAGACACTTTGGCAAGAAAGTCCGCTAGCTGCTCCTTGGTCCTGATGCACCTCCTGGAGGGCAACTATACCTCGCACAAAGTCCAGGCGCTTGAGGTAGGCAAGCTTGGGGCGGGCTTGAGCAGCATGATATTGAAGAAGGGCACGAGCATTCCACGAAGAAAACGAGAAGGAGGGTGCACCAGCCAGAGGACCATGGATGGCTGAGGCAAAGCAGCTAAATATTCCACTCAGCCGCCTCAGGCGGTGCCACCACCGCACGAACAGCTTCGGCCAGACGATCCTTGGGAAGTCCGAGCTTCTGCACCAAGTTGTCAGCCCAGGCGATCTCGGAAGAGATGTTGCCAGGGTTGGGCGAGATGCGCAGGAAAGGAGGAGGAGGAGAAAGAGGAGAGCGGCGGCAGCAGCTCCACAACAGCCGCAATTTCGCGGCGGCGAGACGCGCCCATTACGGTGGGGGCATTTTTTAACACTTCGAGGGTGAACGGACCCACCCGCGATTAGAATGTCATGCAGAGAGGCGCGGGCGGGGCCCCCAGGAACAAGCCCTCAAACTAGGGCTCGACGGTGGGGGCATTGGATAGGGAACCCTTAGATGAGGAATCCAGAGTCTGGGGGCCGGTGAACTCCAATCGAAACTTGGCCATGGATATCACCGCCGCCCTCCTCAGAGAAGGAAGCACCCGGGCCCACACCGTACGGGGTCTGTCGAGGGCGGGCTCCGAGTGAAGTCTCAGGATGCTGGCATGGAGTGAGGCGGGGGAGGTGAGGCGAAGAGCTGGAGGCCTCGAGGCGGGGGGAAGAGGAGCAGGGGCTAGGATTGGAAAGTCCAAGGTTCGCTAAGGACTGGCTTCCTTTCAAAACAGCCGGAACCCTCCCCAAACCCTCCGAAAACCCTTCCGGGAGGGTTCCGGGAGGCTTCTCGGAAAGCTTCGGGAGGGTTCTGGAAAGGTTTTCCTTGTTTGGGGGGGGAAGCGCGTCCCTGGCGATCCTTGGGCTTCCGAAGCCCAGACCCCCGACGTCATGAGTTCTCATGACGTCGACCCCCAGAGGTTTCGACCTGTTCCCTGGGACCGGTTGCTCATCCTGAGTCGTTTTTTGACGGTCCTCAGGCCCGGTAAGGGCCCCCAGAGGCCGAAGATTGTGAAAAACCTCTCGTCGTGATTTTTTCATCGCTCGAGGGGGTCTGGGAGGTTAGGAGGCGGGAGGGCCGTCCTCGATGCGGCCGATCTTCATGCCCGAGCGCGCCAGGGCGCGCAGGGCACTCTGGGCGCCGGGGCCCGGCGTGCGCGTCCTGGCGCGGGTCGCGCTCCTCCTCCTCCCATCCTGCCTGGACCATCCTGCCCCGACCGCTGGAGCAGGTGCTCGCACGGCACGACACCACACGACAGGACAGCCTGCATGAGCAAGGTGCCGTCCGACCCGACACGACCGCCCGAGAAAGGGGCCGCCCGATCCGAATCGAACGCCCGGAACTGGGGGCCCGCCAAACCCGACCCGACCGCCCGAAAGAGGTGTTTTGCCCGGCTAGAGGTTCCGACCGCCCGTCAGGGTCCAGCCGCCCGCTCGCCAGTCTAATCCTCCTTTTCTCCCTCCCTCCATCCCTCCTCCCATCCCTCCTCCCTCCCCTCATCCCTCCTCCTCCCTCCCCCAATTCCTCCTCCTCCTCCTCCTCCCTCCCCCTATTCCTCCCTCTATCCCTCCTCCTCCCTCCCCCCTCCTCCTCCCTCCCCCAATTCCTCCCTCGCACAATCCCTCCCGCCGTTGGGCCGCCCGGGCCGGGCCTCCCTTCGCTGGGGAGGGTGGCGGCTGCTACAAATTCCACCCCCCGTTGGCTCTCGGGGTGGGGATATTTGTGCAAGACGGCGCGCAGACTGCTGCAATACCGGGAGCGGCCGGCCATCCCTCCTCCACCCTCCCTCTTCCCATGTATGCGCCCGCGCCTAATCGCCCGTGGCGGGACAAGAAAAACATTCAACCAAAAAGTGCCGCCTGAATACGTTGAGGGCGGGTGTCGAGGTTTGGTCATCCATGGGCTCGAAAACAATGAGGAACTCGCGCCTGCCTCTCCCTCCTCCCTCCTCGAATTTCGCGTTGGTGCTCGGGCGGGACTGGGGCGAGGGAACGATCCTTGAAGTGAATAGATTCATGAGAGACCGTCGTTACCGCGAACCGTACATGCACACCTACGTGTGTGTATGTGTATATATGTACACTCACACGTACGGAACCAACCAACAGTCCCAGCGGGGCGGCCATTGGGAAAAATCAGAAAGAAGATATGCGGGGGCCCTCCGCATCCCTTTTCCGTTCGGCGACTCCAAAGTGTGTGGTTTGCAAAAGGTGTAGTTTGCAACCCGCGCCTGGAGGGGTGGGGGTCGGCCGAGCCGACAGAGGTCGCTGCCACGCCCAAACCAGGGCTCGTCAAACCTTCGGCGCACCGTGGGGACCCCGAAGCCCCAACGGCGCCAACCGCAATCCACACCCCGCCGTATTCGCCAGTCGGGAGAAGTAGGTGCAAGCATGGACTAGAAGACGAATCAAGCAGATTGGGTTCGAACCCGCCCAAAGAACAACACATGATATGGAACACGTACGGATGATTGTGGCAGGAAGGCGCTTTTGAAAGCGGCTGGGATCTGGATGTCCAGAAGTACACCCTTTTAACGACCGGCGTGTAACCACGCACGTTGCACAGGGGAACGAGGAGTGGCATGAACACAAAAACTCGGAGGTCTGCGCGCGGATCCGAGAAATCCGCGCGCGGACCTCCGAGTCTTGCTGTTCGTGCCATTCGCCGCTCCCCCCCCCGTCTGTGATCGCCGATCACCCGTCCCCCCAACGGCCGTCCCGATCGTGCCAGGGCGCCACGGCTCTAGGTCCCCCACCGCTGGCCCCGAGCATCGGGCCCGCGCGGAGCACGGGCCCCGCGCGCTGCCCCCCGGACCCGGCCGGGGCCGGACGTAGACGCCGCGAACCAAACTGGGCCCGGCCGCACAGCGGCTCCCTCCAAAAAACCTGGGTCAGCGGGGGGAGGGGAGGACGAGGAGGAGATCCTCCACCTCCTCCTCCTCCTCCTCCTTCTTCTCCTCCTCCTCCTCCTCCAGCTCCTCCTCCAGCTTCTCCTTCTCCAGCTCCTCCTCCTCCTCCTCCTCCTCCTCGGGTGCCCACCTCCACCTCCTCCGCCCCCTCCCTCCCCAGGAGGAGGAGGAGGAGGAGGAGGAGGAGGAGGAGGAGGAGGAGGAGGAGGAGGAGGTGGATGTGCGGCGACTTGTTCAAGCCTAAGGTCGCTCGATCAAAGCCTAAGGACTGTACGGTGCACGATAGATGAGATCTGATTTGGCGGGCTGTGATCCTATGCCAGACGGCGCCCGCTCAATTCATGCAGTGACAAGTTGGTAGTCCGCTGAAGTAGTCTGCCATACGAACAGATTGAGACCTTTAGTCCCATGTGCTAAATCAGCAGCAAGCGTGATCTTTCGTAATCCACTGCCCGCTGGTACTATCAAAGTCAAGTAAGGAACGATCTCTTACAATGATTCCAGACCGACCGCCGCCACGAACTCGAACAAAAATACCCAGCGCGCTACGCACCGTGGTTCTCGGGTAGAAACCAGAAAAGCGTTGCCACCACGAAGTAGGCGATCATCAACATGAAACCCTCGAGCCAATTCGCAGCCCCATCGGAAACCACGCTGAACGTGATCAACACGGCCATCATCATGATCGTGGTGTGTAGCGCCCCCAGGTCCAAGTCCATTGGCTGATCGATAACCCAGCCAACGATCACAGCAAATGGCACCACGAAGAGGGCGATCTGCGTCGACGAGCCGACGGCGATGCCGATCGTGATGTCCATCTTGTCGTAGACTGCCATGCGCACGGCTCCCGCATGCTCGCAGGCGTTCCCAACGATGGGCAGCAGGATGACGCCGATGAATGCCTTACTCAGACCCCAGCTGTCGACCAGCCCGTCGATCGAGTCCACCAGGAACTCCGAGGAGGCTGCCACCAGGCATGTGGTGACGAAAAGCAGCGCCACCGCGACGGCTGGAGAGAGCTGAGCCTCCTCCTCCTCCTCGTCGTCGCCCGAGCCGCCCCTGAACACGTCCGCGTGCGTGTAGAGCTGGAAGACCAGGAAAGCGACGTACGCAGCCAAGATATACACGCTGCACCAGCGGGAGATCTGCAGCAACCTGGGGGTGCTACCACCCGCGAAGGTGCCCAGCTCGGACATCTGGGACTCCATGTACTCCCTGCCGATTTCGTCCTGAGAAAAGAAGACCGCGGGGAACGCAAAGGCGGAGCACGCCAACAGCAGCATCGTCACGTTGGTCAGGGCGGCCTGGGTCGAGAAAGTCTGTTCCTTGCCGATCCTGGAGCCCTTAGACGGCGTGAGCCCCCCCACGAAGAAGGACATGCCCAGCACGAGCAGCAGGTTCGAGAGGATGCTTCCCAGCAGCGTGCCCTTCACGACGCCGATCTGCCCTGCCCGCAGGGTCTGCACGGTCAGAATCATCTCGACGGCGTTGCCGAAGGTGGCATTCAGCAGGCCGCCCAACGTGTCGTTCTTCAGCCCGGCGGCGAGCTCCTCCGTGGCATCCCCGAGGATCTTCGCGAGCGGGACCATGGCGAGGAAGTTGAGCCAGAACTCGGGGATGTCCCCCCAGTCGTGGAAGTGCGCGAGGCAGCCCAGGGGCCACGCCACGAGCAGCAGCGAGATGGGGTCCCAGAACAGGCGCACCAGGCCCGCCAGGTTCCCTGGAGGCGCCGCCCTGGGGGTCCGGAGCCCCGAGGGCGATGCCGCGCCTAGCAGATCGCTGGGCGAGCGCCCGCTGACGGCGTTGCCGTGCTTCACCCTCAGCGCCTCCCTCTTGGTCTGCACCAGGCTCGTGCTGTAGAGGGGCGGCTCGGGTGACTCCCCTGCTGCCGCGAACGAGCGGCCTCCGCGTGCCTTGTTGCGGAGGCCCCCGGGCCCAGGGGGCACCGCCGCGTAGGTGCTGATGCCCGCCATTGCGCAGCAGAGGTCGGGGAGAGAGGGCCCCAAAGTCGAGCGGCGAGCGAGGCCTGTCGGGTCGCTGGCCCCTACAGCAGGTGCTTGGGCCACAGTGGCTATGGAGGAGGAGGAGCAGCGCAAACGCAAGATGCAGCAGCGATGCTGCAACAAACTCTCCCGTCCAAAGTCCCCTCCTGATGCGTCCCTCTCTACAAGAAGCGTGCCCACCACCTTCGAAAGACCAGCACCACATCTGCATGTAATTGTGGCGAGGGCCCCGTTTGGAAAGGAACGTCCCTGCACCCTCCTGGCGCATACTCAGGAACACAAATAAGGCCTCACAACTCAACGAAATGTCTGGCGAGACCATCCATCCTTCGCACAAGAACCGGCTCCATCCGCGCAACTGCTGCACCTTGCCATCGCACGGATGTCCATTACACGTGCACTGTTCGGCTCCGTGCGCATATTTCTTCGAACCGTGATCCAGTGTGATCCGCCCGATGGTCCTCGCCAAAAGGAGAGAAGCACACACGTCCGAGCGATGCCAAGCCACCCGTTTTATCCAGTTCTTACATTTTTGTTGATCCGCGGGTCGAGAGCGAGCCTCTTCCGGTCGAAGCCAAGCGGGCCGCGCACAGCTTTAATTGACAGAGGGGGGAAGGCAGAAGGAGGGGCCTCACGTCAAGGCCAAGAGAGGGCAAAGCCCCATCCAGCTTTTACACACGTATCCATGAAATCCCGAGGGAGCCTCAAAAGCGAGAGCTTCGTGGTGCAAAAAAGAGCCGCCTCCTCGATCCGTGCAGTGCTACACGTGTGAGATGGAGCTTTTGGTTTTCCCAAGCCTTCTCCTCTCCTCTTCTCCACCTCCTCCTCCTCCTCCTCCTCCCCCTCCTCCTCCTCCTCCTCCTCCTCCTCCTCCTCCTCCTCCTCCTCCTCCCCCTCCTCCTCCCACTCCTCCTCCCACTCCTTCTCCCACTCTCAGATCCACAGTGAAAGTCATTTTTATGTCAAAAAATATCCCAGTGCGACCCTACCTAGGAGTTGGAGCATCTAGGAAAGCAACATCTACATCTATACCGACAGCTACATTAACATCTACACCTGCATCTTCATCTACATCAGCATCAACAGCGAGACTCACATCTACATCTACATCTACACCTACATCTACACCTACATCTACAGATACATCTACATATACACCTACATCCACATCTACACCTACACCTGCATCTACAGATACATCTACACGTTCGCATTGCTATGCTATGCTATGCTATGCTATGATATGCTATGCTATGCTATGCTATGCTATGCTATGCTAGGAAACGCTCGGCTGCGCTGTGTTATGCTAGGCTATGCTATGCTATGCTATGCTGCGCTATGCTATGCTATGATATGCTATGCTGCGCTATGCGATGCTATGCTATACTATGCTGCGCTATGTTATGCGATGCTATGCTAGGCTATGATATGCTGCGCTATGCTATGCTATGATATGCTGCGTTATGTTATGATATGGTATGATATGATATGCTGCGCTGTGATATGTTAAGCAATGCTATGCTATGATATGATATGATATCTTGCGCTATGTTATACTATGATGTGATATGGCATGATATGATATGCTATGACATGCTGAGTTATGATATGCTATGCTATGCTATGCTATGCTTGGCTATGCTATGCTATGCTGTGCTAATGCCTTGCTGCGCTATGCTGCGCACTGCCCGGCCCCTTTAAGACAGAGGGTAAGAACCCTCTAGGCAGAGCCTAGGTAGGGAAAACACTACTTTGAATTGAGGCAAGCTCTTATGCACAGCATAGGCGGCGTTGTGGCGAGCCCCATTCTGAGGAGGAGCGCCCTGTCTCCTGAAATCTGGTGCGAACTTTTGGAACGACTGTGCGGGGCGCGATGGCGAGAGCCCCATTTTGAAAACCACCCCTTTCCTCCATCCTTGAAGCTATTGCAAGCTACTGGTACAAATGTGCGCGGCGCTGAGGCAATAGCCACATATTGAGACCCCTCACGCACCTCCATGTTTGAATATTGCTGCAAGCTGATCAAATGAATGTGCGCGGCGCTAGTGCGAGAGCCTCATATTGAAAAGGACCCCCCTCTGTCCTTGAAGCTGGTGCAAAGTTTCAAACACGAATGCGCGAGGCGCTTAAGAGAAGCCCATGTTGACAACCGCCCGCCCTCAACCTTTGAGACTGCTGCAAGCGACGAATGCGCGCGGCGCGAAGGCGAGAGCCACAAGTTGAAAACGCCCCGCCCTCCTTCCCTGAAACTGCCGCGAATGTCGAGATTCAGGGTCATACCTGATGGGGAACTGTCAGGCGAAACGCCCAGCCCGCCCTACTGACACGTCTCAGGGCATGGCAGAGAAGAGCTACTTGTAGGTCTGGCATGTCCCCCTACAGGCGGATTTTGGGCGAACCAAAATATTCAACAAAGATTCAAAAAGTAATCAAACGTAGTAACAAGTCGTCCCCAGACTATTGTTTGACTACTTTTGGATACTCCTCCTGTAGAGGGGCAGACCCGACTTAACCCTGATGTCCTTGGCGGGGCGTAGGCCGTGCCGACGCCTTGTGGCCCCACGTGGCTC